AAAAAAAAAAAAAAAAAAAAAAAACAGAACCGTGTAGTTCTGGCTCCTTTTCCATTCTGGGGAGCATCAGTCGGGGTTCCTATTCCACCGGCAAGCCAAAAGAATTACATAAAGGACTCACACATGCTCTTCCCCCTTAAGATAGGAAAGCCCGAGGGACGGCATTGATTACTTCTTGTTAGAAGGATTTACCACCCCTCACCCCTGCCTAAGTTAGCCTGAATACTTTTATTTTGAACCTAAGACATGGAAACGAAATCAGTACCGTGGACCCTGTAGACTTGCTTACGGGAGGTCGCGTCTAACTTGTTCCTCTTAGCTCTTTGACTGTCAGATTCACTTTAAATACGAGAATTGTAGATCTGGTCCTACTTTTTAGGACATGATAAATCGCCTATGGGTAAGCTTAAATTCTATCCTCTCTGTGTTGTCTTTCTTTTTCTATAAAATCTACCTGGTGCTAAAACTGAAGACCTAGCTGTTTTAGCTGTCCTGCTTACCCTTACTTGAAAACCTGTCTTATGGTCTATATGTCGTACCCTAAGTTGTTCCTGTATTAGCTGGATAGAAAGGACTTCTTTGGGAGCTGTTTATGTGGTGGGGCCAGTACTGTTTAAAACGCTTGAGGAAGGACTGATGGGTGTTTGCAGTGGGGGGGTGTTTGGTCTAGATAGGGGCGAGGGAAAGTCGATTGTGCTTGTTGTGTGCCTTTGGTATGGAAACCTGTGGTGCTTTAGCAGGAATTGATCAGCGTGCTCAAGGGATCCGGTGGGGTAAACAATGGTCCTGAGTCTGAATTAGTGGTATGTGTTATATCATTCCACATTGTAAAGATTAGGCCCTGGCCTTTTGACGGTTGCTATCTTGCCCTTGGCAAGGTAATTATCCTCAAATTTGGTTTGCATTTCTTTGGCTTTAGGTGCATTTGCTTTCATTTTCCTCTTGGCTTTGCGCCATAAGACCCAGTATTCCGTTTCCACCTCTTGTCTGAGGATACTCCATGCTTCCTGCACGTGCCTTGGTTGTTTGTCTATCTTTTCCTGGCATCTTTTTCTCCAGATGGACCATAGTGCTGACTTGCGCAGGATTTGGAAAAGATTTGTTTGTAACGGGGACCCGTCGTCTAAAGATGTGAAACCTAGTAGAATAAGGGTAGGGCTCGTAGTGAAGTTTGTGTTGGTTGTTGGGATCATATCTGAGGTATCTTAAACCATATGGGTTTGATTTTCGGCCATTGGAGGAAAAAGTGGAACAGGTTCTCTATTTGGCCCTCTGAACAGTTGGCGCGTATCTCGTTTAAGGGGTTTCTATCCTCTTTTTTTCTTCTGAAGTTCAGCCATTGATTGAGCGGGATTGCTAGGTATAGGATTAACCATTGTAGACTTTTGAACTTGGGGGGGTGTAAGGTTGCTTTTTTTTTTTTTTTTTTT